CATGTTCGACATCAATGTAGACAAAATTTGACGGCGTCTGGTCATGTTCAACATCAATGTAGACAAAATTTGACGTTGTCTGGCCATGTTCGACATCAATGTAGACAAAATTTGACGGCGTCTGGTCATGTTCGACATCAATGTAGACAAAATTTGACGGCGTCTGGTCATCTTTCACGTCAATGTAGACAAAATTTGACGGCGTCTGGCCATGTTCAACATCAATGTAGACACACATTGGTCAATGTAGACAAAATTTGACGGCGTCTGGTCATGTTCAACATCAGTGTAGACAAAATTTGACGGTGTCTGGCCATGTTCGACATCAATGGAGACAAAATTTGACGGCGTCTGGCCATGTTCAATATCAATGTAGACAAAATTTGACGGCGTCTGGTCATGTTCAACATCAGTGTAGACAAAATTTGACGGTGTCTGGCCATGTTCGACATCAATGGAGACAAAATTTGACGGCGTCTGGCCATGTTCAACATCAATGTAGACACACATTGGATTGCGTTCGGTCATCTTATACATAAGTTTAGACAAACATTTGATGACGTCTGGTCATATGTTCAACATCAATGTAGACAAAATTTGACGGTGTCTGGGCATGTTCGACATCAATGTAGACAAAATTTGACGGTGTCTGGCCATGTTCGACATCAATGGAGACAAAATTTGACGGCGTCTGGCCATGTTCAATATCAATGTAGACAAAATTTGACGGCGTCTGGTCATGTTCGACCTCAATGTAGGCAAAATTTGACGGCGTCTGGTCATGTTCAACATCAGTGTAGACAAAATTTGACGGTGTCTGGCCATGTTCGACATCAATGGAGACAAAATTTGACGGCGTCTGGCCATGTTCAATATCAATGTAGACAAAATTTGACGGCGTCTGGGAATGTTCAACATCAATGTAGACAAAATTTGACGGGGTCTGGTCATGTTCAACATCAATGTAGACAAGATTTGACGGCGTCTGGTCATGTTCAACATCAGTGTAGACAAAATTTGACGGTGTCTGGCCATGTTCGACATCAATGGAGACAAAATTTGACGGCGTCTGGCCATGTTCAACATCAATGTAGACACACATTGGATTGCGTTCGGTCATCTTATACATAAGTTTAGACAAACATTTGATGACGTCTGGTCATATTGACATATATGAAGACAGATATTTGATGGTTTTGCACATCGTATAAAAGTCCATGTCAAGTTAACATATATGGTACGTTTGTCAAACCCCTAGTACACTTGTGGATGTCAAAAACGATATACCGTTTGAAAATAAAACATCGTATACAAGTTCCTGTCAAGCTAAATATACTGATTTATATATGATTAGCACTGGCATGGATAACATGTTTGACCACGGACTTAGATAATTCCGTGGTTTGACATTTTTTGAACTGATGTATGAAACAAAATTACTGTTGAATGAAGTATGAGTATTTGAAAACAAAAAAAATAAATAAAAACAAACATATATTGTAATAAAAAATAACTGTAACTGAACAAATAAAGAAAAAACCCGTCAAGTCTTTTTAGCTTAGAACCTTTGTCCTAAAATAATCTGGACCAAGGTTTTTGAAGATTTTCCTCTATTTCATATGGGATTTCCTACTTATATCAACCATCCCTTGAACTATGATTTTCTATGGCTTCCCCTTGCCAGCAGTTTGCATATCTATATATGCCTGAGGGTGTTGTCCAAACGAAGAGTCCACTACTTATACCCTTAACGAAAGGGGATTACTCCTTCACCCTGTCTGTCGGGAGAGGACTATACCATATATTGGAATTAAGTATATAGGTAGTGTTATTTCAAAGGTCGAGTCTATTTCACGCTGGATGTACCTGTATTGTCACCTGTGGTTTCATTGGTATACATGGTCACCAGGAGTGATTTATTATACCAATTAAAGAATATAAATTTCAAAACTTTCAAAGGCAATGAAGCCCCCCACCTTATAAGCATCAATTTATCATGTGACTATTAACCAATGTTAGCATAAAAGCTTGGCGTGTACATCATTTTCATTAGAATTGTTTTTGATATGCATAACTTAGTATTTCATAATTCATATTTAAGACAAAATAAATCAATATTAAATTGCCAAAATACTCGCCTAAACTACATGTAAATGTCAAGTTCAAACTCTAGTTCTTTATTTCCTAAGTCTTTCGACTCGTCGGTTGCAAAGTTACAAAGTGCATTATTTACANCCCCCCCCTAAACTTTGAAAAGTGTCCATTTTAAGGCCCTGACACAAACATCAACATTTAAACCAAAAATCCACATTTTTACCATTTTTTTTTAATTTTTTTTTTACTTTTACAGCCATAAAATATAAATACTCTACGTTATAAAATATAACATGGAAACTTAGAAAACTATTCTACGCCTCTCGATCTGTTTGTCAATGGAAATAATGTCCGATAAATACGTGCTTTTCTACGTATACACTCGGCAGTGCACGAAACAGTTCAGTATTACAGCTTAAAAGAAAAAAACCAATCTTCGCCTCGCTCCGCTTGGCAGGGAAAGAAGTTCTAGATTTTTGTATACAGAAATTAGTATACATGAAGAACCGCTATTACAAATCTCATATATTAGTACCAGATAAGTCGTAAAATCTGTCTTTTGTTTGAAGTTGAAAATGTTGGTTAGGATGAAAACAACATGTTATAGGGAAGTGTTCGCCCATTCATTGACCTAGTCCTTCAGTAAATCAGATTATTAGGCTAATCGGTGGTCAGAACATACGATCACTAATCCACTTTTCACGTCTTACTGTATCGAGCATTCCTGGTCTTACTGTTATGTATCGATTGCTACTGTTAATATTGTTGATTGAACTAGTAACACTGCAATAAACACGTATTTCATAACGAAAAGTAATAACTGTAGAAAAGGGAAAGAAACTGAAAAAATGGGGTCCAAATGGTTTCTGTGTGTGTGGTAGATCAACAGAGGAGGGTTGAGATATATAATTTGGCCATGATTCTGTTTAGGTTTTTTGTTTTTTTATTTATGCAACAATCATTTTAAATACACTTATTTGATAAAAATTAGCTTGGTGTAATAATTGAAAATTGAATTCGCTCGGAAATAGTTCTCCTGATCACAGGATCATGCCGTTGATACTATGACGTCACAGGTGGTGACACTATTTTACTTTGTATGTGAAGGAAGTAAATATGCCATGTCATACCATAAAGGTCGATAGTGATTTATTTAATTATTTTCGTCTTTTTTTTTGGGGGGGGGGGGGGGGGGGGGGCGTATTTTTAGGAATTACAAAAGATCACCAAACGTATTTAAAGGTTTTAAATATTAACATGGGATTTAATTTTGGTTTTGTTAGATGCGTATTAAGTAGAGAATAATAAATACTAATTTTATACTAATAAATACTTATTGGCATTATACATGAAAAGTTAAAAACGGCAGAAACACGTAGATTTGTTGATATATATATATATTGTTCAGTATTTTTAAATGATCAAATATGTTGTTTTTTTTTGGTTTTTTTTAGAGTATGTTTATGTAACGTGTGAAATTATTTGGCAGTTTAATTGTGTGTTTAGCGGGTAGCACACACACATCTTGATATCCCACAGTTGCAATTTAAATGATTACTAAATGCCATACTTCAAGGAATTAAATCGAGATATCTCGAAGGTAATATCTCCAGTGTGGAATAGAAAAATGTGATTAAGGGTTAACATGCTCCTTGAACTGTTGTTTGTAACCCGTGATAAGTCATATTTAAAGACCTCAATTAAACCTAGATAGTGACGTATTGGATATGTTTAACTTTGAATAGGTATAGGTATCATCCTTACCGTCTTTAATAAGGCGTCAAGGCGTTAAGGTTGAAGTATCCACAGGTATAATTTACCAACATTATAACATGTCAATATGTTTTGTTAAAACAAGGGATTTATAAACCTACTAAAGTAATAGAAATTCGGTAAATTGTGAAAACTACATGACAGGTATTCGTGTTGAAAAAGTCGGATTTGGGGAAAGTTAAAATCTTAATCTATGATAGATATATCTCATTCAAATAATTTTGAGATAAAATTATTTTTACGAATCCAACAAATTGGTTAACGGATTAATCCTTGTCGCAAAGCGGTCGGAGTATAGGGTAAGTGTTGATGGTGAACCATAGTTCACTAATTTATATATCACGTTCAGGTATTATACATGCTATTTTTAACTGATAAACACACTCGGATTATTGAATTAAAACATTAACAATATCAATTTTTAATACACGGATAAATTACATATAATAACCTTGGGTATTTTTTCTAATCATGCCATGCATTGATCACGTGATCAGTTTGACGTCATCGTAATCCTATTTTAATACCCCTGTAAAACACCAGTGTACGGGTAAAAGACCATCAGATTATTGTTTGTGGTTCCTTCAAGATGGCAGGACTGAAACAGCTGACATGGCTAGTATTGGTTCTGCAGTGTAAGTATTGACTGATTGTTATTTTATATAATTTACTATTTCTTTTTTGTGTAATAAATATGAGTTGCGTTTTTGTTGATTAGATATTGTGTTAACATTGATGGTCCATTTTTGTGTCGCATGGTGATATTTGTCGTTTTATTTTCTGTTTTTCTGATTAAAAGCTTGCAGAATAAAATCCCTTATAATTGTTGACAATTTGTTTTGGTTATAAACTCCTTATAAATAGACATCAACATAGTTGTTGACAATTTGATAATTGTCTCCTTTTACGTATATACATGTATACAGATGTCAATATATTTGTTGGTTATTTGGTAATTAACACCTTATACGCCTAAAATCAGACATCAACGTATTAACTGACAATTTGGTAATTAACTGCTTATAAGTATATAAACAAACATCAAAATTATTACAATTTCATATCCTTATAAATATATAAATTCACATGGACATTATTGTTGACAGTTTGGTATGTAAATCAACAGAATTGCTGACAATTGTATTAGTAATTTACTATTCATATCTTTTTTTAATCAGATAACACAATTGTTGAACATTTCGTAATTAAATCCTTATCAGTATATAAACACCAATCAACATAATTATTTACAATTTTGTTAATACTGTTATTGAATTCTGCAACCAAACCTGTAACATGCTACTTTAAACCTTTATTTGGAGAGAAGAAAGAGTATATTGAATACGTTGAATACCATGTGTATGGCATTGCTATCTAATGGTATTACGATGAATATCGTTTGTATGGCGTTGCTATCTAATGGTATTGCGATGAATATCGTTTGTATGGCGTTGCTATCTAATGGTATTGCGACGAATATCGTTTTGATGGCGTTGCTCTCTAATGGTATTGCGATGAATATCGTTTGTATGGCATTGCTATCTAATGGTTTTGCGATGAATATCGTTTTTATGGGGTTGCTATCTAATGGTATTGCGATGAATATCGTTTGTATGGCATTGCTATCTAATGGTATTGCGATGAATATCGATTGTATGGCATTGCTATCTAATGGTATTGCGATTGATATCGTTTGTATTGCATTGCTATTTAATGGTATCGCGATGAATATCGTTTGTATGGCGTTGCTATCTAATGGTATTGCGACGAATATCGTTTTGATGGCGTTGCTCTCTATTGGTATTGCGATGAATATCGTTTGTATGGCATTGCTGTCTAATGGTATTGCGATGAATATCGCTTGTATGGCATTGCTATCTAATGGCATTGCGATGAATATCGTTTGTATGGCATTGCTATCTAATGGTATTGCGATTGATATCGTTTGTATTNGGCATTGCTATCTAATGGTATTGCGATGAATATCGTTTGTATGGCATTGCTATCTAATGGTATTGCGATGAATATCGTTTGTATGGCATTGCTATCTAATGGTATTGCGATGAATATCGTTTGTATGGCATTGCTATCTAATGGTATTGCGATGAATATCGTTTGTATGGCATTGCTATCTAATGGTATTGCGATGAATATCGTTTGTATGGCATTGCTATCTAATGGTATTGCGATGAATATCGTTTGTATGGCATTGCTATCTAATGGTATTGCGATGAATATCGTTTGTATGGCATTGCTATCTAATGGTATTGCGATGAATATCGTTTGTATGGCATTGCTATCTAATGGTATTGCGATGAATATCGTTTGTATGGCATTGCTATCTAATGGTATTGCGATGAATATCGTTTGTATGGCATTGCTATCTAATGGTATTGCGATGAATATCGTTTTTATGGCATTGCTATCTTATTGTTTTATGTCGAATACGCCAGCACGAGATAGTATGTCATTTTACCACACGAAAGAAACAGACAGGAACCACTACATATTTTGTAAATAACATGTTTGTAAATAACATGTCTATAAATAACATGTCTAGTCTATAAATAACATGTCTATAATTACAAAATGAACAAAAGTACTAAGTTACAAACAACGTAAAAGACTATGTGAATCCCTTTACATTGTTCTGAGCAGGGGGAAAGGACAACGTCGCGCGTTCACAAAACTAATCAAAATACGATGCTTTTATCATATAAAGTTGTAATTATTGTATCGTCCCAAATACCATATTGTTATCGTTACATTACATAATATATTGATGTTATATTAATAATTTTTATATATGATTCGTTAAAGATATCAAAACTCGGGCGATGGATGTTTTTCCGTATTATCAGTTTTGAAATATGAAAGTAATATCGTTTGCATTAAAGATTTTAAAGAAAGGTATATTAATGATGTGTTGTTATTTGTGTTACAGATGGAACTATTTCGTGTTCATTTAACTCCACGATAGAGACCAACCTTTTAGCAAGTCTGTTCGATTCATCCTACAATGCCTTTGTTCGACCTTCCGAACAAGTCAACGTCTCAGTTAAATTTGTAGTGAATTCACTTAATGAATTGGTGAGTGTTACTCATTCAAACGATATGACACCAGGACCCGGATGTTCAGAAACCGGGTGTTCAGGACCCGGATGTTTAAAGGCTAATCAGCTTAATGAGACGTAATTTTCAAAATGAAAGTTTTAAAAGTATGTTAACAATTTACTAATATTTATGTGTTTCACACCATTAAATTTTCTGTTTGAATCCTTATACATACAACTTCAGTTTTGAATTTCCGTTTTTTAAAAAGTATTCCAGGTTTAAAACTTTGCGGAAACTTACCGTGGAGTTAATCAAGAATTGAACAACCGGGTCCTGATGTAAATCAAAATCGGATTATATTACTTCATGCAGTAATGAATTATTATATTTGTAATTGCTTTCCCTTTTTCATAATGATCACAATTATTGATTATTATGTTAGATCATTCCAAACAGGCAGATTCTAGAATAACGGATGCTAGTTTTGTTCTTGTTATTTTTTGTTTAATATTATTCAGTACCTGATAATACCATTTCTTAATAAGAACAAAGATGTTTTATATGCTTATTTTGTGTATTCGCTTGTGTATGTCGCAAGTGTGTACATTCTGTTTTAAAGGACGGGTCCGTGTCTTTGTTGTGAACGATGTTGTTGTTTCGTTATTATAAACCACTGAGTGAAAAGGTAAAACTCCATTATATATACAACATACAATACTGTACATAGACTGGCTTATGCGTAGATGAAAATATAGCCATTGAGCTTAATCCATGTCAAAAATATAAACTATATCAAAACTGAAACTGAACAAATCAAGAACTTGGATTTCATTTCCTTCGTAAATTTATGAACTAGTTATGTGCTAGCTGATACAATACACCTCCAGCACCCACGCGGACATACACACATAGCGAGATATAAGCCAGGTGGCATAGGACTAGTAGTTAGCGCCCGACAAGGCAGCTCCTGCGAATTCCTCAAAATCCTGTTAATATATTAATATATTATTTAATGTATATGCTAGTTGTATTGTTTGTATAAATTGTATATGTAGTACCGATTGGCTTATTATAGATAGAAAGGGCGATATAAAAGGTTGTATATTTATGTTCTTATTTACATAAAATCAGTTGGATTTAAGCTGTGTTTTCCTGTTGTAGAACATTAAGTCTCAAACCATGCAAATATCCGGATATCTGGAAGTGGTAAGTTTATTTAATACATTCTCTGGCTCAGTCATATGGTGATGATCTCCTATATCACGTCTTCTCGTTGACAAAGAATTCTTAGATAACATTGGAGTGCGGGAACAGACATGTACATTTATTATTGTTTTATTCGGTTTATAGTAAACAAATTTTAATCGAGTTATTGAACATACAATAACATAAATAATCGACATTTGTGAGCCTGTTATATTTTTGACAGATTAATATCTTAATATTTGGCCTCTGTGGCCCCTTGTAATTATGTCATATGGTTTGACTAACTTTCATTTAAGTACCATATCATGATTTCGGATTAGCTCATAATGTACATTATAAATCGACAAGGATCAAGCAAGCCTTAATCCAGCAAGGTCACATCATAATGGTAATTACCAAAGACCTGTTTGTGAATTATAATCTGTTTATCATGCCTGAATTTGTATTACTAGTAAGGTACTAGTGTAGCAGTTATAGTCATGAATATTCACGTCCTGTACACAAGTACAGTCGTATCTGTGTTAATCGACCACACAAGGGAAAATCAAAGTGGCCGTTTGATAAAGTATTGACCGAATGTTGTACAGATTTAGACACGATCGATCAACCGAAAGGTTACTTATTTCAGGCAAGAGTAAATAAACCAATAATTTCAAGCGTCCATTCAATCCATCCTTGGTTACTTTGAAAAAACATCATCAGTAAATCAGGTGAATGAATGATCAATGCTTAAGTGATAATTATAACAGTGAACATTGAGTCACCCTGTCATTTCACTGTAAACAAACAATGTGACACCCTGTCATTTCACTGTCAACAAACAATGGGACACCCTGTCATTTCATTGTAAACAAGTAATGT